TTATTAAATTTACCTCTTCTTTAAGTCGATCGCCGATAGTCGATAAAGTAAAAACATTTACAAAAATTGAAATGACTAATATAAAATATATAATCACACCAAAAAATTTATTGTCTTCCCATTCCTGAAAGAAATTTGTGTAAAAAAATATAATTTGATTTTGAGAAATTATCTTTTCAATTATGGAAAAATATGTTTAAGTACCTTGAGAACTCCATATTCAAGAAAACATATAACAATAGTGCATAGAATCATCTCTGATAGAAAAACGATATTTAATGAATTTTCGATCATTTCAACATACCTGTAATAGATATTATTATGGAACAAAAAATTATTATGAAATAAATGTAATTATTATAAATTGGAATAATCGCAAATAATTACATTGCAATTTAATAAAAGTTATTTATGCTATAGAATTTATGCTTCAGAACAATATTTAGCAAAAATAAAATCTAGATTCTTTTTACACCTATAAACGTATATTGTTGATGATACATTTGTTGAAAAATTGACAATTCTTTTTCCGACCTGAGAGCTCGCATGTGATTCGTGATGATCCAATTGAATCGTTCATGAAGATCATCAATTCCACCAACCAATAATGTTTCCATATGTCTGCGAGCGATCTCGAACAAGCAGCAGGCATGCATCACACAACTGGCAATTAAACTGTAAACACCACAGTTCGTAGAGAGGATCATAGTGCTAAACACAATCTGAACGACGAAAAGAATCTCGTAGAATGGTGAGTCTTCCACTACGAAGAAGACGTAATCGCTGAGATAAGGCAGAGGTAAATGAGTCGTATTGTCCTCCTTGATGACTTTGTCTGCCACCAATGGCATAATTATATGATAAGGTAATGCGCCACCATACAATAATACCAAATACATCATCGTGAACTGCCTGCCGACCTTGGCGTTTTTTACCATCACCAGTCGATCCTCTTCGCTCTCCACATCTCTGTACTGAATTTCCATTTCTTTCAGGCAGCACTTGATGTCGTTTTTGTTGATGATCATTGTCCAAAACTTGATGATACCTAACAGGCTGAACACCTGAGCGGCTATGACTTTCATGTATCTTGTCAGGTCTTCCGCGTCAAAGAAGGTATATATGATGTGCGGGACGAGCAGAAAACACATTAAGCAAAACACGATACTCGTCTGGAGATAGTATTTAATTTTATACATTGTAGAATCGTCCCCGTAAAGTGGCCAAATGCCAATAGGCGTCAACAGGATTTTGGCGACTCTTAACACGTACTCCGCATCGGACCTGTAATTGAAGTTTTGGAATAGCGCGCGATTGTCGACCGGCGACATGCTCGCGATCATTGCCCTACAATTATTTGCTTCGCAAAGTTTGATTCTCGACTGACAACAACAAAGTGGTGGAAGAGGGATCGTCGATAGGATAGCACACAAGTTAACGTAGGCGCTTGCGTGCAAAAAGTTCACCTCTCTCAAGAAACTGTCAATAAGGGTTATTCTTCTAAGAACTTCGCAACTTTCTTTGGAAAAAAAAAATACATTATTTCAATGATGATTCTACGCAGGCGTTGTCAAGAGGTAGCTGCGAAGACAGAGATTTGCTTCGTTGAGCTGTTGAGCAAAAGAGTACGGTGTTCAGAATGGTGAATACATTTCTGTGTTTTACAAAGTGAAATCGAAATATTTACTGTGCGTTTTTAAGTTCAATGCTGAGAGATGATATTAGATATAAATTGACAATATTTGGACATTCTCTAACGCATTGAATATAAAAATATCGATCGAGTTTTTTAGATATAATAAGAACTTTATTATTATTTATTGTATTATAAAAAAATTTAGTTGTAATATATGAATTTATTTTAAAAAATTAGTAAATTTTTAAAACTATTCAAACCAAATAGTATCAAATAATATTTTTGTAGTAGGAATGCAATTCTGTATGCATCTTTAAAATTATGTAAGTACACACATTATATAATATGTATTATATATATATAATAATAATAAGTGATATCACGAGATACATAAAACGATGTTGATATCTGTAGATATATATTTATATAAGTTTTTAATTCAACTGAAGTTTTTCTCCACAATATTTTCAACAGCGCCAGGTCATTTTATCTTGGTAAGTTATTTACTAAAATGTTCTTTGCAAGCAAACTTTACTTGGCAATTTAGAATGATTGTAGAACATGCAGTCTATTACTTACGATTTATAAAATTTGAGAAAAGGAAAAAGTTTCGGGAAGGGAAAAATAATGATATACAATAAAAGTTCTAAACAAAGAATATGCATTACGCAATTGGGAAGTTAGTCGTATAACTCAGAAAGCCGACAATTCACATAAATTTTTTTTGCAGAAAAGAACGGAATCGTGGAAAACATTATATATGGGAATTATAATACATAACATGTACTATTCAAATTATTGTCAATATATGATTTATTGTTTGACAGAGAAGTGATTGTTTTTCGCTGACGTCATATAAGAAGTGAGATGTAATCTTTCATAAAGTGACGGTAACAGTATTATATTTCTTATATAAGTACTCGATGCGATAATAGTTAAAAATTTATGTAGTCATGGCTCGTATAAAATTAAAGTACGCCGCTGATGTTTTGCAAACCTAAAACGCGCATAGTATATCTAGCAAATGTTATATTTCTATCAATTTTTAGATGAACATTATAAACAATTACCTCACAGAATCCTTGAAGAGAGAGATCGAATATTTTTGCGGCTGTCAAAGTTGACGGGCGATTTGATCTAAGCATCATCAGAATTAAATCTTTTACAATTTGTGATGGCAAATCATACCATTTGATAGAATACGACGATTCTCCTATCTTTTCGCTCTTCAAAATAAAAACAAATAAATATTAATCAATTAATTTATTATATTATGTTTATCATATTATTATTATTATTATTATTATTATTGTTGTTGTTATTTTATCATTTAATCTCAATCGAGTTTTATATAAATTTTTCATTTATTTGTAATTGCAATGGATATATATTACAAGATATTTTCTAATTCATTAATTATTTAGTGCAAATTTATGGGAAGTACCTCTTCTTTAAGGCGATCACCGATAGCTGATATAATAAAAACATTTACAAATATTGACGTCATTAAAACAAAATATGTACCCATATTTAAAATTTTTCCATCTTCCCATTCCTGAAATAAATTTGCGTAAATGTATAATACATTATAAAATTTCATTTTTCCTGTGTTTTATTCTAATAATTTCTATTAAGAAAATTAATAATTTCAGAAATACCTTAAGAACGCCGAATTCCAAAAAGCATATAATAATAGTGCAACCAACCATTTCACATAAAAAAACAATGTTTAATGATTTCTCAATCATCTCTGCAAATCTATAACGTATTTTATTATCCAAATCCAGTAAACATAAAAACTGTATATAAATTATGAAAACACGTTTTTTTCTCTTTGTTTTAATACGTAATTGTCTATTGCATGTGATTTAATGAGGATATAATGAGGACATTTACAGAAATACTAATATAAGACGTAAATTAAAATTTTCTCACTTAATGGCCTTCATATGATGCTCGATTACTCTCCCAAATCGCTTGTGAAGATTATTGATTCCATCGTCGAGGACTGTTTCCATCTGTCTGCGCACGACTTCAAACAAACAGCAACTATGCATCACACAGGTAGCAATCAAGCTGTAAACACCGCAGTTCGTGGAGAGGATAATGCTGCTGATCAGAATTTGCGAAACAAAGGTAATCTCATAGAACGGCGAGTCTTCCACTATAAAAAGAACGTAGTCACTAAGGTAGGGTAGAGGTATTTGTGTCGTGTTGTCTTCTTTGACAATTCTATCCTCCAGCAGTGGCATAATTATGTGATAAGGCAACGCGCCGCCGTATGATAATCCCAAGTACGTCACCGTGAAGAGTCTGCCAATCTTGGCGCTCTTCATCATCACCAACCGATCTTCCTCGCACTCCACATCTCTATACTGCATTTCCATTTGCTGCAGGCAGTATCTGATCTCTTCTCTATTAATAATCATTGTCCAGAATTTAATAATGGCAAGTAGGCTGAACACTTGAGCGGCTACAACTTTCATGTATTTTGTCAGATCCTCTGCATCGAAGAAGGTGTATATGACATGTGGGATAAGCAGGTAGCACATCAATCCGAATATTACGCCTGTCTGGAGGTAATTTTTGATTTTGTCCGATTTGGAGTTACCTCGGTAGAGTGGCCAAATACCCACAGGTGTTAACAAAGTCTTGGCCACCTTCACCACGTAATCAGTGTCGGCTTTATAATTGTGATTTCGAAATAGCGTAAAGTCTTCCATCGACATCGATTTAGGAATTTTTAATTCGTTTTTATGTAGAATATATATATATTAACTGTACAAGTATTTTCAATGACTGATGGACACGAGAATGACCTGCGAGAATCAACCGTGAGCGCTTGCGTGCATAATTCGCGTTTTTTTGCGATGATCTCTTTGCGACCAATCTGTGAGAATTATGGAAAGTTTTAATGTTGAGGAAAACGCATGCAATTTCAGCGGCAACGCATGCGCTGTGATGGTGGTAGCTTTGAACTCTCCAAGTCGGAGCTTTATTCTTCCATGTCGTCTGAAGGAGTAAAGAGTTATTTTCAGAGGGTGAATGTGAGTAGATTCGTGCAACTAAAATATGCTTTTGGCGTCAAAGGGATTATTTGATAATAATATTATATTTGAAATCTCCGCTATATCTCTACCAAAGTTTAAAGAAATGATGTGATATCATGGACACGTGCAGTCTTCGTATATGCAATACATCAACCAGTGATTTAATTACGAAACACTTAACGTATCTATCGATAAGACATCGCATTCTTTTTTATATCCTTACAAAAAATAACGATGCAATGCGATTCGTGATAGTTTGCACAGATTGTTAAAGTAATAATCATAGCAAATTCAGACGCGACAGTGATTTCACCATGCAGCACAAACGAGGTAATGAGTTCATCACTATTGAGATTTATATAGATATCGAAATCTGTTTGTATGAATTTTTATAGGCGGAATATGGAAGTTACAGGAGAATACGATGACGATGTTAGCGGCGGAAATCATCGGCACAGCAATGCTCCTGTATATCGGTTGTATGGGGAGTGTTGGCTCTATGGGATTCGCACCTCCGGCGCTACAAACGGCACTTGCCTTCGGTCTATCGGTGAACTTCATAATTATGGTACGTGTCATATGACTTAATTGTCTTCAAAATTATTTTATAAATATTTTCTTTGTGTTAAAAACATGATATGGTATGTATTTTTCATTTATACGCGATATGAATTTCACAAGCTACAGTACCCTCCCTAAATTTGAGAACACCCTACGTTTTACAGGTAAGCCCTTACATGACAGCGATTTATACATGTTTTTGATTTAAATATTTCGATGTTTAAATGACGATAAACATTTATCTAGAAGCTTGTACATCTATAAGCTTGTACATGCCGAAAATATGTTGGACAATCATTTCACAGCATCGAAGCGCTCAAGATTGAATTTTGCGCTTTGGTCTATTGTTTATATGTATATTGTTACTTGTTTTGCAATGTTGTACTTGTATTCGTTGTATATATACACAGGTCATTTAATTGTATTATAGTTAAACGGTTTCTATAAAAATGATAAAATATTTGAGTCGTAAATTGATTTCAGACTCCGTAAAAATTATAAAATGGCCCCGAAGAATTAGATTTCATATGAATCGCATTTTAAATAAAATTCCATTTGTTTTAATAGCATGTTATTAAATCTTGAATTAGAAAAAGACAAAATAAAAGTATATACGTTATAGATAATATATGTATGTATGTATGTATGTACTTTTATTTCGTATTTTTTTAATTAAATAATTATTTATAAACCTGTAACGCAAGGTGTTCCCAACTTATAGAGGGTATAAATAAGTTATAACAAACTTATACTATAAACAAAAAATTTTGGGATTCTCTAAAGATATGCGAACATTGTAAGATCATTTTTCTTTCCATTTATTGCAACTGTCGAATTTACTATGGCAACGGATTATACCTTGTAATTATAGTATTATTGTCACATTGATAATGACCTGATAAAGGTCTAAGTGTTTGCCGTTTTGTTTATATAAATTTTAAATAAGCAATTAGCAATAAATATCTTGCTTGGTTCGTAATCCTTATATATATTCATTATTTTATATAAATTACAAATTATATCTTATAAACTATAACTTGCAATATCAATATAGTTAAATCTTGATCAGATTTTATGAGACATATATATTTTTATGAAGCGTATTTTTTTAAAAAACATTTGGTTTATCATGTTTTTGTGTTCAAAATTTCATTTATTGATTTCTTAGACGATAGGTCACATAAGTGGCGCTCATCTTAATCCGGCTATCACTATCGGTGCTGTCATTTTGGGCCTGAAATCAATTCCTACCGGCATGGTTTACATCTTGGGACAGTTGATTGGTGCCATCGTGGGATATGGAATTTTAAAAGTATTATTTTATTATTATTTGTGTTTTATTATAAATTTAAATTATAAATTTTATTATATTTTGTTATTGTTAGTATATTTATCATGAACAATGATCTGTATTCCTGTAGTGGATAACACCAGTGGAATTGTTTAACGACGGAAAATCAAACTCGACTGAGAGCCTTTGCGTCACTGTTGTTTATCCGGGACTTAGTAACGTGCAAGGTTTATTAATTGAGATATTTTGCACGTGTTTCCTAATTTGCGCAGCTTGTGCAACATGGGATCCTCGGTGTTCTCATCTTACGGATTCGGTCGCCCTCAAATTCGGCTTTTCAGTCACTCTCCTTTCTTTTACAGCGGTAAAATTATTTTTAAAACAACGCACAATTCTTATGTTTTTCCATTATTAAAATTATTATTAAGTATTTCATAACATTAATTATTCTTCTGTCTTACATTTTTATTACTGCTTAGAAATATATCCTGTGTAGTCTGATAATTTTAACAAAATTTATCATCATATATAGATATAATTTTATAAAAAATAGAAAATATAATTTTATAAACGAAGAAAGAACAAAATATACATAAAAATAACCAATAATATTTTTATAATTAAATATAAAATTGAAATAATCTATTTTTTTCAATCTCTCTAGGGTCCTTATACCGGATGTGGTATGAATCCAGTGCGATCATTTGCACCTGCACTTTGGAATGGTAATTGGAAGGATCACTGGGTAAGTTGAAAATAAAAATTTGTTTTATATAGTATAGATGAATATAAGAACAAAAATTTATTTCCAGTAAGAATGTTAAGTTTCAATTTCATATTATGAAAATATTGATTATATTTCAAAATTTATTACAATAGTGTCTTTATCTTTCATTCTTTATCTATTCATTCTTTATGTGCACGAGATGCAGAAGCACGATTACCGTTAATAGGCGTTTAATTAATTAAGAATTTCTACAAAACTACGTATTACATACCTGATATACTCTGCGCGATAAGAACTGTGTAAATTACTCAACTGTAGCACACATAACAAAATTATCTTTAATGATATATCAGCTTATTTAAACATCACATATCGAAAATTTTTTTTAATTTAGTAGCAGTAACTAGAGATGTAAACAATGGAAAAATTCTAGAATTTTAGCGTAAAAAACTCGAGAAATAATGGTTTTTTTCCTTCAAATTTGACGGTATTTTATTCGGATATTTTTTTGTTTTTTAGCATTTTATAATTTCAACGTACTATTGTTCCAGAATTTAGTTTTTGTACTTATCCATAAGATTTTTGTGTAGAAATAGTTACAAAAGTTAAAATATTGTATATTGATTAATATAGTACTAGGTGGGGTGAAAAGTAACCTCCTTGGGAATGAAAAAAATTTTTTTCTTATGCAGAATCTCGCCCAAAATATGGCGTGTTCGCTCAGTACTAATCTTTGTAGCATCTGCTAGCTCGCGCACCTTCACTTTCCGGTCAGCCAACACCATTTCATGTATTTTTTTGACATTTTCCTCGGTAACCGCATCGGAGGGCCTGCCGCTGCGGACTTCATCGGTAGTGGAGTTGCGGCCACCACGAAACTCTCGAAAACAATATTTGACGGTGTAATCTGACGGAGTATTAGCCACATAATATTTATCCAACTTTTTTTTTGTTTCCTTCGCCGTTTTGCCTCTCAAAAAATAATGTTTTATGAGAGAACGAAAATCGTTTTCGCAAACACGTCAACAACAATCAGCTCTCAAAACAAAACTAAGGGCAGTATCGCACTGCCACTTGGCATGTCTGCCTAAATATGAACGGACTACAAGGCACCATAAACTTTTTTGCAGTAGTGGCGCATTCTGGCGGTCAAGGAGGTTACTTTTCACCCCATCTAATGGCGATGTGACTATAAATATACTTTACCTTTCACTATTATATTTTATGCTGTACTTCAATTTTAAAAGTTAAGTAAGTGTTCTACACTGTTACTAATACAAATAATACTTTATTAGACTAATTGACACTGTTTTTGTTGTATATTATGATTGTAATTATACATATTCTAAATTTAAATTAGTGAAACAACGTTTATTAAATCTCTAATTACTCTTAAATCAATATTATATCAATATTATTGGGATGTTGTTTCAAAATAATTAAAAAAAATACAAAATAATTAAAATATGGAGTACAATTATAACTAATATGTGCAACAAAATAGTGTCTATTATGATTGTAAAATATTACCTATATTAATAACATCATTTATTTAACTTGTAAATATAAAATATCTGTCGTTCAAATAATTATATTGAAATAACTATATATGTTTTTTCATGAATTTTATATAATTTGGTCAAAAATACCGTTATTTACAATTAAAACCTAGTTTTTTACTTGATACTTTTCTGCGAAGTAAAAAATAATTTTTACATCTCTAGTAATAACATTTTGAGATTAAAAACTATACATAATACGATTTATCATACAAGAGTGAAATGTATTTCCAAACAGTAGTTAATTTAAGTTATAAAAATGGTTTTTTATCATTAATTTATTAGGTGTTGGAATTAATTCGTAGCGTTTTTTAATGAAAGAATGTTATTTATTTCACATGAGCATTAAAAAATACATTAATGAAAGTACTTCCCATCACTTGTAAAACGCTACGAATTAATTCCAACACCTAATAATTTTTTCTTAAACTTCTATCATTTAATTTTTGTTTGTTTAATTAGATTTATTGGGTTGGTCCTATTTTGGGAGCCTTACTTGGAACGTTTGCTTATCAATTGCTGTTTACAGAAACACAACCAAACAGAAAAAAATCTATTTGTTTAACTGATATAAAGCCTGTTACCGTATTGTCATAATCGAATAATGTTATTATGTAATATAAATAAAATGAAGATTTAACAATTTATTATATGCCGTTTTTATAAATGAAATTGTACTATAATATCCAAATTTATAATATTATACTTGAAATACACAATTTTAATTGTTTGTAAATAATTATAATTATTTATTATTTTATTGTAAATTATGCTCTCACTTTTTTTTAATTATCATCTATTGGTCATGTTTCTTCAAAGTAACTTCAAGTTTTACTAGATGGCGGATGTAACTCAACGATAATTTAAATACAATCAAACTTTTTCATTTATTTATTATTAAATTGAACTAAAAATTAAAAATTGTTGAATAATCATTCAATCTAATATAATATAATTAGTTTTATATTTTTAGTATTTGTAAAAAGAATTTCCTATTAATATTAATTGATAAGTATACGAAGAAGTTAATAATATAATATAATTTTTTTTTCAAGAAAGAAGTCTATTAAATAAATAAATTATTTTCAATGACTGTTTAATATCAGTTGTAGTATATGAATCAGCTGTAGACAAAGAAGATCTGCGCCATGTATAGTTGCAGTTTCTATTATTTAGTCAGATAGGAAAACATTGATAAATATATAAATTTTTAACACGATTTTTCTAATTTTTTTCAATAATACATTTATCATATTTGAAGATATAATTCTTTTTGCCATTTAAAAATAGAAAATATTATCCTAGTAGATGAAATCTAATATGACCGAAGTGCAGATTGGATACTTTTAGAATATTATAGATCTCACGCTGAGTTCTAAATTATTTTTATACATTTACTTTTAGAATTATGTTTCTTTTCTCAAAGCGGAGATTTAAAAGCTGAATCTTAAAGCTTATATGTATATACAAGTAATATAATATTCTCGATTTTCTTTGTGTGATGTTTGATTTTCTATTTTAAGATAAATAAGAATACAATACATTGTATTAATATATATTTTTATTATTAGTTTTATAAATTCTATAATAATATCACAAAGTGATAATAAAGAATCCGAATCTCTCTCGAATCTATTTATTGTTATTTGTATCTGTTCTTTTCTTGAGATGCAAATGCATTCGTAACACATACATAAAAATCTCTCTCTCTCTCTCAGTATATAAAAATTCTTATCAATTAAAATAATATATAGTCTAAATTATTAACGTAATTCGACTTTAATAAAAGTAATATAGTTTATATTAGGTGTTGGAATTAATTCGTAGCGTTTTACAAGTGATGGGAAGTACTTTCATTAATGTATTTTTTAATGCTCATGTGAAATAAATAACATTCTTTCATTAAAAACGCTAGGAATTAATTCCAACACCTAATATTATATGATAATATATTCTGCGAATAAAGGTCTCCGATAATTCGCAACAATCCTGATGCGCAATTCCGCATGGCAGTTCGTAAGATTGCGTAATTTCGCTATAATGTATTCTATGGGTACATCGAATTCGCACCGGCCGGGCAAAACAACGTACGTGTAAGGTTCATCAACCTTCACCCAGCGACACACTCTCGCCGGCTGGGACTTGGTCACGGATGCGATCGATAACAGGGCGTTTCGTCGACGTTTCGAGAAACTCGCGCTCCAGGCTGCACACACACCTGCGTGCACCCCGGGGCTCGAAAACGCCCATCTAGCCCCCGTGGAAAAGGTATGTCTACTTGCAGTATTGTCGTGCCACAAGTGTCAGGACAGATCGTTGCAAACCGGCTATCCATTCGACCGGTTAGCCGACTTCGCGCGACCGGAATTCAAAATTTTGAGATCCAAGCCCGTCGATGTCCCGACCCGGCTGCAACATCATCCTCGACATGACTGCCGAGTTCAAGGTCGCGCAGTACCGGCGAAGCAACTAAAATTAGTCCAGCGGGCAGGTTACCTACGCGCTCGGAGAAGCACAACGCCGCGGACAAGAGTTCGTTATTTATGTAGCGAGTTGATGAGGGTAAACCGCGGTGCCGCGACGAGTAGAAAACTCTACAGCGAGAGCTTCGAGGGAGAGAATATTGCGACGCAGCGTCTCTTTTCCTTTCCCTCTCGGCAGATCGAAGTTCTGCGCGGCACGATTAGGGTGGGGCAATTTTTGTTCCATGTTGCGTAATAGATATTCACCCTTGCACGAAGACGCATTATCCTGACTGCGCAGTGAAGTCTAAACAACTTATTATGTTTAATATAGATGAGGATGCGAGGGAAACTGTCTAACTTTACACAAAGCTATTATTTATTCTGCCACATTGTAAGCTATATTTTAGCTGAAAAGAAACTTATCTATACGATTATTATATCATAAGGCTGCTATTTTACACTAAGATATTAATATCAGTCGCAAGAATTGTAATGTAGAATTTTTTTATAACTTAAAACAAAGATAGTGATAAAGATTATATTAATCTTTATTGTGTAATTCCTATTTTTTTTCGCTGACAATACAATCGTGGAAAGGGAAATAATGGATGAAATGTGTAATCGATGTGTTTATTTTGCTGAGTCGGAGACAGCGAACATTTGCGCACTTTCTATACGTTATATCTATAACTCACTTCGTGCATCTATCGATTAGCTGCTGCAGCTGAACCTCGAATGTTCTGGAATACGATGGAAACACCTAAACTGCGTTTATAACGATTTGTTGAAATGTCTGATAAACTTCTTTCTTTTTTACTAAAATCTTTTTAAGGCAAAAAGCTACATATTATTAATTGCTAATGTCAAATCTTAAAAAAATATGTCTAAAACATTAAAAAATCTAAAATAACAAAAAGCATTCAAAGAGAAGATTATAGGAGTGTAAGAAATGCGTAAAATTACACAGTACAATATATCGTTAGACATTAAAAGAATTGCCAACAAGCACAAAATCACGTATCTTTCGTTAGATCCCTATTCTGTAACTCGACTCTAACGATATCGTTATATGGTTGTTGTGCTTACTATGTACAAAACTTGCGTAACGACATATAACGATATCGTTATTGTCATTACAACATTATAGAATAGGGGTCTTTGGGACCTATTTTGTAACTCTTAACGACTGTAACTGTAACTGTAAGTACCATTTGTTTTTACCATATATAAAATTTGCTCAACGACACTATAACGCTACAATTACAATCGTTAAGAGTTACAGAATAGGTCCTTTAGTTTGTAATTTCTCGCTTAACAATATAACTATAATATAACACACGTGTTAGATTGTAATTATTAAACGGGAAATTATAATTAACCATACGTTATTACATGTAACTTTGCTGGGCTAATATACAGAATGTATATACATTTTATATTTACTTGAAATTTAACGTATTCTATATACTTTGTATTTATTGTTTGAATTATTTGCAGAGCTATATCACCTCCGGGGAATCACTCGCAATCAGAATGTAAAACCACATAAAAACCACATGATTTCTTAATATAAACCATATCGCTCGTTCTAAATTTACTTGCGAGAAAAACGCGGTGAATAATAAATTTAATCTAAAATATTCGTAGTATATACATCAAATTATACAAAATTTCTCAACTATAAATCCATTCATTTTTAATTAATCGTTGTCTTGAAAACGATTTATAATAAAAATAATTTCTTAAGATTAGAAAAAGCATGCTTTCAATTTCCTAACTACAGTTTGGATTTTCTAACAAGTCGATTTGTTTCAGTGTCTATCAAGAATGGAAAAGAAGATACATCGGTGGGAAGATGTACTAATTGAGAGTATGTTCATTAGCAATGTTCACTAACTGTATACCATTTTCGTTCCGACAAGATTGATAAAAAGAAAAACATGTCGTTGAGAAAGTTCCCACAGATCATCACGCCGTTCCCATTTAATGCAACATAGTTGGCAACCGTCTACCTTCGCGCATTTCATTACACCGTTCTGAATGACACCTGAATGTAACGAGGTATCGCACAGCACATTGTGCATATTTCTATGAAGTATACAAGTAGTTCCGTTCACCCTTCCATTCGAACCTAATCCGCTGGCCGTTGTTAACGGCCGACAAAAAGACGATCTCGCAGGGAGAAAGATAAGTATCTGATGCGCGCACGACCCTCATATATTTCTGAATAAAATTGCATTAATTGCGTCTACTTAAAAAGGAGCGTCCTTTGTGATACGTTCGGGCCGGGCTAACGAGCGATATGAAAAGGAAATCGATAGAGCGGTACATGATACACCGAAAGAGGAACGAACGTAATATTATGCAACCCGGTTGTAACGTCGCTATTATGCGCCGTTGCCCGACGGTCGCGCATCGTCGAAGCCGTTGCAATCTCTAATGCGAGTGTAAAGATTCATTTATCTTCTTATCTTTTTTTCTCTTCCATAATAATGCATCTTCAGAGACGAAGATCGTCTCTGCGACCTATATTCGCCAAACATAACGAGGCGAGTTATATATTACTGGCGTTATGTTGCGTAATATTTGCGTCTCTGATTGTCGTCGGCGATTTCGTGTCTGCGTCGAAATTGCTCATTCTCACGCTATCGGCTGTGCCATGCAATGAATCAACCCGGTCGTGTGTTTGCAAATATAATACGCGTCGCCAGCCGGGTCCCGACCGCGCCTCAAAATCTCATAAAAATAGCTGTCGTTCGCCTTAAGAGCTGATAAAAAAAACTACGTCGGAATGGCAGCAAGGTCACTCGGAGCTGCCTGCGCAGTACGGAAATCCCACCACGAACGCTTTCTGGCCGAAGAAACTACGTTTCAATGTTCGGCGTGGTACACACACACACACACAAATTAACGTTTACAAAATATTCTCGAAAACAATCTTCTAATCTATCCACTGACGACAACAAGTCTCTCTCTCTCTCACCCCCCTCTCTCCCTTCTTTGCTAGCGATAACAATCCTCATTATCGTACGTTATAGAATATGAATTTCGTCACACCTAGAACGCCGCCTCTGGTTAACATAAATCAATCATTCTGCGAACATAATTCCTTCCAGAGTAATAGGTTTGTCC